TGAGGTCACTCTGTGTCCTCACTGAGCTTTCACAAAAACCATCTTCAGAGCTCTGAGGTGATCAGCCCAGCAGCAGCCACACTTGCTCAGATCTTAGACTCTGTGCAGTGCTTGCACCTGTGTCCTGATTGGCTTCATAACAACCCTAGACAGGAGGGGAAGAATCTCCTCTTATTGACAGATTACTAGCTCGGTTCTTAGAAGCAGCCTTAAGAGGAGCCCAAATGCAAAAGGTAGGGAATTGTGTAGTTAAAATGTAACAGTCATAAATATCCTTATTTAGAAATTCTATGATCTTAGAGTCCATGAAGACATCGTTTACTTTAGGCCACACAGGCTGTGCATCCACACTGAAGCTAACTTAACTTCTGCTATGTTTGGAACTTAGGTTTTTCAGAAACGGATGGCAGAGTCGGGCTTTCTCATGAAGGAGAGATGGCCTTAATCTTTGTTAACTGGAAAGAGCTCATCATGTCCAACACAAAGCTGCTGAAGTGAGTCTGCATCTTCTGTCACGCTCAGCCCCCTGCTCGGGAACTGAGCAAAGGAACTTTCCACTGCTGTCTGCTCCCTGGGGCTTTATATTGTCTTATCATTTTGTAAAATGCTCAGTAACTGTAAAATTCATAATTTTTAAGGAAAGTAAAGGAATGTAGTCAAAAAATGCTTTGATTAAGCAAACAAACAAAAAACATTAAACATGTATTAGTGTATGATTCCAAGGCACCAGCCTGCTGGCTCTGGCAGGAGGGTAGGAGTCAGAGGAGGAGCTGCAGCTCAGAGCCAGACTGGCCACCCAGTTTGTAGCTCCTACGCCCCATATGCAATTCCAGCCCTAGGACACTGTAAGGACAGACTCCCAGGCCTGGCTGTGCCTCTGCCACCCAGGGTCAGCAGCCCTACTAGAGCACTGCTCCTCCACCTCTACCCTGGCCTCTGTCGCTCCCTCATCCTTTTTCCCTTACAGGCTGCTGGAATTTCTTTTGGATTCAATTGAGAACAAGTTAGAATTTTTCAGAAGAAACTAAGGAGAACCCAAACTAGTCCTAGAAAGCACTCAAGTATACAGATTTCACTTCCTTCTTCTTTGCTTGCATTGCCCCATGTTGGCTTGCCCAGGAGAGCTTCAGGCCCTTGCTGCTCCTTCCCCGACCTTTCCCTCTCAGTGCCAGTTTCCTTGGTAACACACAGGGTATCATTGTCACTGGTCTCCGATAACATTCATCCTTTAATTTCCAAGGACAGTCTGTGAGAAACAGTGAGTGTGTGTCGTTTGCAGGGCCCTGAGAGTGCGGAAGAAGACCGGGGGTGAAAAGATGCCTGTGCAGATGATTGGGGACATCCTGGCGGCCGAGCTGTCCCACATGCAGGCCTACATCCGGTTCTGCAGCTGTCAGCTTAATGGAGCGGCTCTGTTACAGCAGAAGACCGATGAAGACGCAGACTTCAAAGAATTTTTAAAGGTAACTCCATTCTGGATCCTGCAGCATCTTTCCTGGATAGCAGGCACACTGGCCCCTTCTGAGCCTGGAGGCAGCAGTACCCTTCCCACTGGGGACTCTCAGCAGGGGAGAAGGGTGTCCCCATCAGCTTCCCAACAAAGCATAAATACAACAAACAACTTTCTGATAGCTTTGTGTTGCCTTTCAGGTAGACCTGAGTTTTCTTAGTACTGTGAACGTGATTTTACACTTGAGTAACAAATCAATGGGGTGGTTTTGGTTGGGTTGTTTTGGGGTTTATTTTATGAGGGATTAAACACAGCTTTGATCTTGCTAGGGAGGTGTGCTACCACTGAGCCATGTCCCAGCATGGTTTTTCTTTCTTTTTTTTTTTTTTAAGCAAACTTAATTATGAACTACTATATTTTCCCAAAGAAATTTCCACAATTTCACTTTCTTTTTTTGGCCATATTGGAGTTTGAACTCTGGACTCTACTACTTAATCCACACTCTTAGCCCTTTTTGCTCTGGTTCTTTTGGTGATAGGGTCTCACTTTTGTCCAGGCTGGCCTGGACCACAATCCTATTTTATGCTTCCAGCCATAGCTGGAATGTCAGATGTGTGCCACTACCCAGCTTTTTTCTGTTGAGATGGAGTCTCACAAAATTTTTTTGTCTGGACTGGCTTTAAACCACAATCTTCATGATGTCAGTCTCCAAGTAGCTAGAATTACATGCACAAGCTACTGTACCCAACTCAGAATGTCATTTTCTTAATTTTGTTAACTTTCTTTAATAATCAACTTAAATTTCAGAAAGAATATAAAATAGCTTGCTTAAATGTATAAAATGCAACCAAATAAGATGAAATTTAAAGTAACTAAATTAAAAACTGGGATGAAAGGAAATGAGAGTAGGAAAAAAAAAAGTGATACCAGGCAATAGGTAATACATAAAATGCAAGTCTGTGACCCCATGCATATACCAGAAGTGCACACCGATGTCGTTGACGCCTCCGCGAACTGATGAGAAAGGGAAGGGTCAGTTCCATGGTGCCGTGGTCATAAAACTAAACGCAAAACTAAGCGAGAACTGAGACATGCAATATAGTTCTGATGTAATAAATCCAGCTTCCTTATGTGATTTATCAGTGAACTTCATGCATCTGGTTATTGTTAATAGAATGTCACAGTCTGAAGTCAGGTGTGGTGGCCCACACATATTGTCCCAACACTTGAGAGGCTGAGGCAGAAGCATAAATAAGAGGCTCAGGGTGCAGGCTGGCCAGGGCATAAAAGCGAGACACTATTCAAAGTAACTAAAGCAAAACTTGCTGGGGGTGTTGTGCAAGTGGCAGATCGTCTGCCTAAAAACACAAGGCCTTGAGTTCAAATCCCAACACCATCAAAAAAAGGCAAAATCTAGCATAAGCTGTACCCCAAAATGTTCCTTTTTTAAAACTCAGAAAATACAAAAAGCATGAAGATGCCTGTTATAGCAGAATATGTAGGTAGAGATCTATCCAAAAACAAAAGGAGAAGCAATTTTAATGGGCAATAGTGGGAATGAGTAGGTAAATTACAGCAAATGTATCTTTTAGTCAATAAGAATTATCTTCCTGGAGTCTTGCCTACTCTCTTTAGGTGCTTTGCTGTCCTAGGACTAGGAACACAGGAGATGGGGTCTTTGGCCCCCTGACATTAACAGTCTGATGGGGGATAGAGGTCCTGGATGACCTGGAGCAAGTAGGGTGTACACTCAAAGTGACCAGAGGACAGTCACAGAGAGGAGGGAAGGCATCCAGGAGGGAAGCCTGGTCAAGGGAAACCATGGCCTGGGTCTTGAGAGACGAATGTGAGTCAACCATGAGACAGGCAGCAGGGCGGTGCTGGCAGGGGCTCATGCATTCATTACCTGGCACACAGAAGGTGCTTAATTAGTGGTAATGATTGCTTTGATGAGGTAGGGATAGTGAGTTTGCCAAGACAGGGGAAATCAAGAGCTATCAGAAGACAGAAAGGAGTCATAGATAACTCCTGGGTGTGCGCATGGGTAGGTGGGGCTGGAAAGATGCTACCAACACAGACAGGGATGGAGGCAGAAAAGATGATTTTGTGAGGGGAGAGGACTTCATTTGGGGTTCTCTTAAGATTGAGTTGCCTCTGGTACATTAGGTAAAGAGCGTTCCCTGGAGAGGGGGGAGCTCCAGAGAACTGGTTATAGACACTGGGCCTCAGCTGCAGGGGACCTGGGGCAAGAGCTCCATTTGAGAATGGATGGAGAGAAAGGGTGTGAAGAAGACTCAGGAGGCCAGTAGACTGGGAAAGCAGCCTGGAGAGAGGTTCTAGAAGCAAAGAAAGAATGACCACACAAGCTGCCAACAGCATGTGAGGAAGAACTGAGAAGAACAGGATTTGGATCATGAGCGGAGAAATCCTGTGGTTAGCGTGATAGATCATGTCAGATCGAGTTACTGAGATACATTTGAAATGTAGAAGTTTCACAGCATGAGTTTGGCCAGTGTTCCTTTGGCATGACTGGCTGTGATCTCTTCACGGATTGTGTTACAGAAGCTGGCGTCCGACGCACGCTGTAAAGGCATGCCCCTCTCCAGCTTCCTGCTGAAGCCCATGCAGAGGATCACCGCTCCCTCTGATCATCAGAAGTGTAAGTGTGCAGCCCAGCGGGCCCATTTAAAAGTAGGACCAGATACCCAGGGCACCCTCTGCCTGTGGCCAGGTGCTGTGTGTGTGTGTGTGTGTGTGTGTGTGTGTGCGCGCGCACACACATGCACAAGGGTATGCACTTACCATCTGAAAGGCTGAAGCCTTAAGTGGGCAGATAGAGGCCAGTTGAGTGACCTATCATCTGCCTCGCAGGAGCCACCCTAATATCCCAGTCACAGGCCCTCCCAGTGTGTAGCGGTGGGGCACCCTGAAGCCAGACACAGGCTGAAGTTGCCATTAGCAAAGCCATGGGCTCCAGTCTGTCTTCTGAAATCTAAATTCATCTGCCAAACTGAGCAACTTTGTACTAAGAGTCTCCCACTCAACACATCCTAAACAGAGCCCAGGATCAAACCTCTCGTGCAGCCTGCTTCAACTTGCTGACTGAAGATCCCTTCTAAAATTCCAGCCATCTATACTCTAGTTTCTCTTCCGATCATATAAACCTTTTGCCTTTTACTAAAATTCCAACCATCTTTCTTTTTGAGATAAGCAGTGTGGGCATCTTGAGGCAGTTCACCTTCTAAGAAGACAGGTTTTAGGACCCAGTCAGAGAACAACAGATCCAAAGAGTACCTTTTCCCCCACCCCACTCGTCCCACCGAATTACCTGTCCCTACGTCCCCAAAGCACTTGTGGGACTGTGAACTTCGCAAAGTTAGACACCATGTCTCTTTCTCTGTGGTATTTCTAGTGCCTAGCCTAGCCTAACCTCACACACATTAGTGTCAGCACCTTTTGGGAGGGTGAGAGGTCAGTGAATGGCTGGTGGGTGGGTGAAGGACACAGTGCCAACCATGTGACACTGCCCACTCTTCCAGATCCTGGAAAACACACCCCAGAGCCACGTGGACCACTCCTCCCTCAAACTGGCCCTGGAGCGGGCTGAGGAGCTGTGCTCACAGGTGAATGAGGGAGTTCGAGAGAAGGAAAACTCAGACCGGCTGGAGTGGATTCAGGCGCATGTCCAGTGCGAAGGTCTCGCAGAGGTGAGGCTGTGTTGTTGAGAAGGATGCCACCAAGCAGGGTCTAAGTGGGGTCCCAGCCCTAGGCCCTCCCCTGGCGTGGACAGTCCTTACCTTGGCTCAGCCGGTGCAGGCACACCATCTGCCCCTACAGGACACTCCTTAGAGTGTCATCTTCCTATTATCTAAGGAGCGATGACTGGAGTGTTGCTGAGTTCTTTGAATTCAGCAGGTAGAGTCAGTATTCTGTGGGTGTACGCAGAGATTTTCACTGGGCCAGTTGGAACTTTGAACATAAGTGTGAAGTTCTTTTGTGTAAAGGTGAATCATCCTAGCCACATTCCCTCATAGGAAAGTTTTTCTGGGTACCCTCAGGTCTAGAGAACTGGCCACTCAGGAATGCTTAGATGCTTTGTGCTGGGATTTACAAAGTGACATTTTCTTCCTCTTCAAGCAACTTATTTTCAACTCCCTCACCAACTGCTTGGGGCCCCGGAAGCTTCTGCACAATGGAAAGCTATACAAGACCAAGAGCAACAAGGAGCTACACGGGTTCCTTTTCAATGACTTCTTGCTTCTCACCTACATGGCCAAGCAGTTTGCTGTTTCCTCTGGCTCTGAGAAACTTTTCAGCTCCAAGTCCAACGCTCAGTTCAAAATGTATAAGACGGTGAGTACCACAGGCCCAGCCCAACGAGGCCTCACCATTACCTGAGTGCCTCCCTCCTGACTGAGCCTGCCCTGACTTCCTAGGACTCTTCACCGGCTTGAGGTGGCTTGTGTGTCCTTTGCTGCTTCCCAAAGGAAGGAGCCTAGTGCATCAGCCTCCCTCTGCCCACTGATGACGTCATCAGGATCCAGCTTTGGCTGCTGGCTTCCTCCTGGCAAACACAGTACCTGCTCCCACCTCTGGCCACAAATAGCCTTGGGTCTCTCTGTAAACCAGCCTGACATGGGCCAGGTGTGCGGAGCTCCTGCCCCCTGTCCAGGACCACCTAATCCACCCCAGATTATTGACCTTTGCAAATGGAGGTGGTTTCTTTCTTCCTGGGTTAAAGACCTTAGATACCAGACCCCTTCCTACTTCTTCAAGGCTCTTCAGAACAAACAGCTCTCTTTCTGGACACAGGTGGGTGGAGTGTTCTGGCCCATCTCATAGCCTATGTTTTGGCCCTAATTCTTTCAGCCCATTTTCCTGAATGAAGTGTTGGTGAAACTTCCCACAGACCCTTCCAGCGATGAGCCTGTCTTCCACATTTCCCACATTGACCGGGTCTACACCCTCCGAACAGAAAACATTAACGAGAGGTCAGTCCTGACTCTGTGTGACCTGCCCTGAAATCTAGGAGAAAGCCAGGGCGTCTCCCTCAGCCATAAACCCACCTCCACCCATGCTCGAATCCTACCAACTCCGTCCTCAATCTCTCTTAGTGTCCTCTGCACTCCAGTCCCACAGCAAGCCTTGATTCAGATACACTGAGTCACACAGCCACCTCCTAACCCATCTCCCGCTTCCAGCCTCTCCTCACTCCACACCTCATCTGCTTGCCACTTGGCAGAGCCAACGCCTCAACCCCCACTAAATTCCTGTCAGGAGCTGCTCTCAAGCGGTGGTCCATGGTCTTCGCTGGTTTCCCAGGCCTCCCTCTGCCACCAGCCTCAGTCCCTCCCTGCCTCATGCCCACAGCCATTCTTCCTCTGGTGGAGCTCCCTCAGGGACGAGCACCTCTGACAAGCCATGGGACACCACTGCTGCTGTGCACATATTCTCTAGATTATAGCCCATGGTGCTGAGTGGTCACTGATGTGGCTAAATGTGTCCTCTAGCTTGGGTCCCCAGCACCTTGCAAGGGAAGTCAAGAGCTCTCTAGAAATTTTCAGCCCTTCCTCAATTAGCAATGGGGTCTTCTGCTTGAACTAAGATTAGGCATATGACTAGAAACTTGCTAACACCAAGGTTAGCAAAAGAGAGACGGCAGCACAGAGCTCTTGGCCACGCATGAGCCTGTGAGGTGCCTGGGAAATCCCCACGGCCATGTTCTTCTTCTCCTCCAGGACAGCCTGGGTGCAGAAGATCAAGGCGGCATCTGAGCAGTATATCGACACTGAGAAGAAGAAACGAGAGAGGGCTTATCAAGGTACCAGTGCCCTAGTGGGGAGGGAGACCAGCGGACAGGACTATGGGCAGGGTGGGGTGTGGCCTAGGAGCACATTCCTGCTACTGCAGTGAGGCCTGTGATTGATCCTGCAGTGGAGCCCCAGCACCAGCCCCTCTAGCTGCCACTGTTCCAAACTTCCTTGAGCCCCACTGTTCAGTCGGGGGTACCCAGGACCAGCTGCAGGGCCTTCCTTCTCTCTGCAGGAAGGTCTCTGTCCCTAATTCTTCACTGCATTCTATTTATGGCTACCCTCACCTCTGTGGCAATCACCTTGTTCCTTGGGCTGTGGAAAGTCACTTCTCTCCTCTTTTGGCCCCACCCGGCTCCACCTCCAGGACCCAACATCCTGGGCCCTACTTCCTTCACCCTTTCCCCTCCTTCCTTCACCCTTCCCCCTCCCACTAGTAACCCCCCCACACACACTGTACCAATCCTGGTTTTCTTTTAATATTTAAGTTGATGTTCAAAAGGGTGTCTCAGTGCATGCCCACTGTGGGTGTGCTTTACTTTGATCCGTTCACACCCTTCCATTACTCTCCCTTACCCCTTTACCTCCCACCCCCCATTTTTCAACAGCTTTCAATACACATTCTTATATCCTCTGCCTTCACATCTTATGGTATGCAATATTACTGATGCTCTATCTTCTTTTTCTTTCCCTCTTTCCCTGAGTTCCATAGAGTAGTTCCACTGTTGCAAACATGTACATTTGAGTTTGTATATGATCATGCTTGTTTTTGTGTATCTGTTTATCTTTGGATCTGTCTTCCACATGTGAGAGAAATATGTGGCTTTTGTGTTTCTGATCCTGGCTAACTTCACTTAACACGATGTCCTCCAATTGCATCCATTTACCTTCAAACCACATGTCGTTATTCCTTATGGCTGAGTAATACTCCATTGTGTATATATACCACAATTTCTTGATGCATTCATCAGTTGTAGGGCATCTGGGTTGTTTCCAGAGTGTGGCTATTGTGAATAGCTGTGATGAACATCAGGGTACAGGTGTCTCTACTGTATCCTGTTTTATGTTCCTTTGGGTGGATGCCCAGGAGTGGTATCACTGGATCATATGGCAGATCTATCTCTAGTTTTTTGAGACATCTTTATACTGCTTTCCTTAGTGATTATGTCCAGACCTGCTCTTAGCCTCCTTACCCAATGGAAGCCTGTGCTCTGAGCCACACCTCACGTCTACCTCTCCCCTGCCCATCCCTCGTCCCACACCTTCCTTCCCTGTCCAGTCCTCCTGCTTCAGATCCTGCTGCGGTAGCTGCAGCTCTTTGTGTTTTTTTATCCAGGTTCCCCTTATTTTGTTCTATCCTCCTGAAAGGTATGTGGAAGTTGGCTTTTGCTGATTGAATGTTTTTTTAATGGTACTTTAAAAGCTTGCTATTGAAAAATCAATGACTGATGAATCATTTCATAAAGCATATAATGATCTCTTAATTAGTCAAAGATGTAAATCACCGTTTTTCTCTGAGTTTTGCTTACCATCAGTATCTGTGATGTATATCATTCTGCATTCTCCATGTGTTCTGTTCTTTAGACATTTATTATTTACTGTGTGCCAGGCTCTGTGCTACACATAAGGCCTGCAGAGATGAGTAAGGCCAGGCCCTGACTTCAAAGGAACTAAAGCAAGTTCCCAGGTGGAGGTGTGGGCACAACTAGGGCCCCTTCTTATGAAGAAGGCTACACGTGCCCAGAGCTTACCAAGCATCCTGTTTGTTTTAAGTCCTTAACCTAGTTAACTAACATTTACAAAGATAGTGTGGGCCCACTGACTCACTTCTCTGAGTAATAAAAGCAGTTTGAGCACCTCCTTAACTATTGCAAGACCTTAAGTAAAGCTGCCTGCTAAGGTGAAATGTTTACTCTCATGTACCTGGAATTTTGATGAGTGATTTGTTAGCAGTTTGACCCTGCATTTAAAAACTCTTGAGCACTTAGGAGAGTGAGACAGAGGAGTCACGTGTTCAAGGCCAACCTGGACCACATAGTGATACTGTCTCAAAACAACAAAAAATGTACACTATACACATATATGAAAATGTCATAATTAAACCCATTATTCTGTACAATTAGTATTTGCTAGTAAAAAAAAATGGGGAGAGATGGAGAACAGGAGGGCTGAAGGCTTGGCTCAAGCAGTAGAGCACCTGCCTCACTCACAGTACAAAATCCTGAGTTCAAATTACAGTACTACCAAAAAACTTTTTTTAATTTTAAAAGCTCTAAATTAAGCATATTTTTTTCATATATAAAATGCAATTATGCAATTTAAGTATAATTTCCATAAAAGTCTAGCACATGCCTAACACAAAGTAAGTAGCCAATAAATGTTACTTGCTAATAAATACTGAACAGATATCATGTATTACTGTTTTATTAATATTACTTTGCGAGGCAAATTATACAGGAATGATAAAACAATCCATGGGCTACAGTGACTCCTCTTTGTCAGAGGAGACAGATATTATACAGAACTTCAGACCCAGCATGCTGTGGGGTGCTCCTAAGTCAAGGCAGTGAATACACAGAGGGAAGGAGTCTGGAAATAGCTGAGACTGACCTGGATCTTGATGGATCAGTAGGATTCTGATGGGCAGAGATAGTGGGCAAGGCATTCCTAGCAAGCAACACAGCCTGGGAAAGAGGCACAGAGCAGCCAGACGGTGGGCCACTGGGTCCAGTGCAGGGGCAGATGAAGCTTGGATAATGTTCTGGTTGGTTAGAAAAACAAACTGTGAGGGCTGGGAGTGTAGCCAGTGGTAAAGCATGTTCTTAGCATGCACCCAGCATTTGAGAAAAAGATAGCAAGAAAGATAAGACTGTGAGGGTCTACAGCTAGCATCTTCACTGTGCTGTCTGCATTCTGAGAAGAAATTAACATGACTCACCTTCCTCTTTTGTAGCACGCTCTCAAAAGACTTCAGGTATTGGGCGTTTAATGGTGCATGTCGTTGAAGCTACAGAGTTAAAGGCCTGTAAGCCAAATGGTAAATGCTTCTTTCCTTCAGTGATGTGATAATACCCTGTTCTTTACTGGTGACTCTTTTGAAAGGCAGTGTTCCAGTGCCATTAAAATAGCAGTAAACTTTATTGGACCAGTACCACTATTCTTTCCCCAATAAGCACCAACACCTGCTGTCCTGAGTGCCTCTGCATCACAGAGCAGTGTGTTGAAGGTACTTGCCAGCTCATGGGGAGCAGTCCTAACCTTAGAGCTTGTAGTCACTCCCCAAGGTTAGGATGCCATCAGTATTGGGAACACGGGGGCCATGTTGCTAGATCACAAGGCAGGTATGGTCCACCGGGCAGTGACCCCTGCTACTGTGGTCTAGTTAGTGAAGCAGCATCATAGTTCCTACTTTAGCTGGAGGATGGCCCTGTTAGTCGCTCCCCTCACCTACCATGCCACAGGTATCTGTGACTTGTTTCTGTGCAGGAAAGAGCAATCCATACTGTGAAATCAGCATGGGCTCCCAGAGCTACACCACCAGAACCCTCCAGGACACACTAAATCCCAAGTGGAATTTTAACTGCCAGTTCTTCATTAAGGATCTTTATCAAGATGTGCTGTGTCTCACGATGTTTGACAGAGACCAGTTTTCTCCCGATGGTAAGTATAATTTCCTGGTTTTCTGGAATCTTAGGGTCTAGATCCAGGGTGCTCAGTCATATGTACTCAGTGCCACCTACAGGAAATGACATACACCTGTGCCCGCTCACTTTGGCAGCAGGTAGGTGCCCTTCCTCAGGAAGAGGGGCTGGCCTCTGACCCCAACTCCTTCCCACACACACAAGTAAGCACTGTACTCCTTGTGTACAGAGCATTCTCTGACCAGAGAGACTTGGAATTCCACATAGGCTGCTGCTCTCAGATAAATCTGATGTCACTGTGTGCCTCCACTGACAGTACTAAACAGCCACATGTCAAAGAAGTTACTGGTTTGGGCTTTGAAAGGTTTATGAATCCTGTTAATGTAGGTTTAGAACAATTTTGTAAAAACAGAATTTTGACCCTCACATGATGTTTATTCACCAGATTTCCTGGGTCGTACTGAAGTTCCAGTGGCAAAAATTCGAACAGAACAGGAAAGCAAAGGCCCTACAACCCGTCGACTACTGCTGCACGAGGTCCCCACCGGGGAGGTCTGGGTCCGCTTTGACCTACAGCTGTTTGAACAAAAAACTCTCCTGTAGGGCTGGTGGAGGGGCTCAAGTGATTGAACACTTGCCTAGCAAGTGTGAGGCTTTGAGTTCAATCCCCAGTACCACCAAAAAAAAAAAAACCAGACAAAACTCTCCTGTAGGAGACTGGAGAAGACAGCAGGAGGGGACCTAACCCACAAGGCTGGGGCTGAAGAGCATCAAACAGCTTCATCTATCACAAAGCCACGCATGCTGGGGCCTGTATTTTATTGCACACTGAACTGCTAGCAATCTATGCAAACATCTTCCTTATGAATAAACAAACCCACAGCACAGTGCCTTGTACTAGTGTTAACATGTTCAGCTGTGTTAGATGCCAGGGGTTCCATTTTCAGGGCTATAAAAGCATTATGTGGAAATGTGGCGTCAGACCACCAGTTGTTACCACTGCGGAGTAGTTGAGGAAGGCGGAACCATTCTACACCGTGTGGCCTCTACTGGGTCACAGCACTCAGGACGGGAGGGGTTGGGATGAAAGGCTGCAGCCTCTGTTTGCAAGCCTCATACTGAAATAGCGTCTCCTTGTGCACTGAGAGAGAAACCTGATCATTTTCTTCCTGGTTCGATTTTATCATTTTCTGCTAAGACAATAGAGTTTGAAATACAAGGGGAAAGCTTGATGTACTTTAAATACTGTGAACTCTAATAATGTGGAAAATATTTTTCAACTTTAATTTTCAGAAGTATAAATTATTTATATAAATTCCTTGTTTTTGCATATTTCATAGGACATGCATCTTTAAGCTTTATCGTTGCCAATATGTACAGAAAGAGAATAAAAATATTAAGTTTATGAATATAATTTCTTTCAAAACTTGACTACTTTCTATATGAAAAGCTCTTAAAATGGAATTTCAGAGTTTGCTATGTTAGATGAAACCAAATCTCCTTCCTGATACAGTGGAAAAACCCAAGGATGGGGTGAACAGGGCCCCACCAGGAGCCTAGGGGTCCAGGGCCTTAGCCTGGCTCTACATTGACTTGCTCTGAGCCTCTGGTATAGCTATGTCCTGTTTCTGGTATCCTTGTTCCTGGTGGAGTAGAAAGCTCACGGTAACTTAGAAGGAAGGGGTAACACACAAGGATTAGGACTGCTCAGCAGGTCCTTTACCTCTCTAGCTCCAGAAGCCTCATCTTTCCTCATGTTCCCTGTCTCATCAGAGCCACATTCATACCTGCTTGAGCTGTTTGTTCGGCTTTTGAATTTTGAAATATGAAATTTGTTTGCATGTTAATGGAAGTAAGATTTTATACACTAAATGCCCGGATGAGTGAGTAAAACTGGGAAAGATCTGAAGGAATCACCTGGCTATAAGAGCCCTGACTTCTAAGGAGACATCTCTTCTTTCTCCAGGCAGCTAGGGACCAGGTAGGATTCTGTGTCCCGAGGGCTCAGAGTTCCTCCTTAGCCCCCATTTCTTTTCAGCATAATCACTGGGCAAAAAAGGGCTGGAAAACGTGATTCAGTACATTTCAGATTTTTAAAGATCTACCGCTTACTCACTCCAGATACTGATCCTGGGCACTGAATGGTTAAAATATAAACACGACACAAGTGAGGACATTACGCAATATGGGAGAAACCATTTCGCCTACTTCCAGGAAACTGGCAGGACAGGCACAGCCTCGCAGAGCAAAGTAAACCGCTGGCCATCTCTCAGGTTTTGTTGGTTCTGAGGTAAGTGGGGGCTGATGTCAAAGTGAGTCACCGCTGACCAGTGACGTTCAGAGCATGATATGGGCCCTGATGACTGGGCAGGTGTAAAGCCAGCTCTGGGGTGATTTGTGACCATAGCTGCAGAACAGTCCTCTTGCCAGGACTGTTGGGGGCTTTAGTTCTCACAAGGATGAATGTGGCTAGTGCCATGTCACTATCTTTGATAAATCAGGATTCTTTGATCAGACTCAGAACATAAGAGCCTGGAGAGTCTAAGTCAGGCAACTAAGGACTGTGGAGGATACCTCATGTCAGCACACCCAGCAGAGCCAGTCATCCTTCTTGAACTAAGAACCCAGATCTGCCCCTGGGAACATCAAGTTCTCCCCGCCACTGAAGTGGGAACCTGATTTTCTAGAGCATGTGTCATTAGGAAGCAGGTGTGCCTCACACAACTTGGAAGTCTCCCCTTGCTGAGAGAACCCCAGCAAACCCTACAGGGCTCCTGGGGACAGGATGCTATGACAGAGAAGGGGATAATGCCACTTTTCTACTACCATTCCCATGTCTAAGTGTCTGTGAGGAGAACATGTGCCCCGGACAGATCCCTGACTGGACTTGGAATAGAACCCTGGTACTTCCAAGCTAGGGCCTGGGCTCCACGCATTGGCCTCAGGCCCTCTGAGTGTAAGTATTAGGAGATCACAATGTTATCTCAGTGTTAAAATGTTTCAAAGAATACACAGTTCCTACTTCACAACCAGAGCTCCATAAACAGTAGCTGCTATTATTTGTATATTTCTTGCAATACCTTTCCACTTAGGGAGAGAAAATCCAGGTTCTTGGTATCTTAACTGCTATATACATGCTGCAAGGTGAAGCCAGTGAAGCTTTATTACCAACAGTGGCCTAGCCTGGCTGTCACCTGCAGGGAGGCCAGGCGATTCCCCAAGACCTCTGCTGTCATCACTCTTTGTCCCATAGGCAGTGGCACCCATGTGTGCCGGCCATCCCCCGCTGCCCAGGAGCGGGGTCTCTGCCGTCGGGTCCCTGAAACCTGTTGACAGAAGGAAAGGCTGTGTGTGATGTCAGGTGAGGAGGCTCATAGGAGGGAAGACACTGTGGCCCTTGCCCCACTTGCAGTCCTCCTATATGAGCTGGGACACTCTTTCAACCAGGTTCCCAGCCAACCCTTTTGCCTCACTTTCTCACTCTGCCTGGTTTCTGCAACTCTCACATGAGGCTTTCCAGATCTTGGCCTCCATCTACTGTTTTATGGTATGACAAAGATGACTAGTTGTTCCCTCCACTGTGTTCAGACCAGCCAGGGACTGCTTCTCCCAGCACCCTCCTACAGTTATGTACAGCTATGAGACCAGGTCCTAGCCACAGAATATCAGAGGAAGAGACACATGCGACCTCCAGTCCTTGCCACATACACCAGGGCACAACTCATCCCAGATCAGTGCCTTTTTTGGTTTCAGGAATGAGTCTTTTGGAAGCCAGGTACTGAAGATGACAAAGGCCCATGAGAGGGTCCTGGAGGGGGACAACCTGCTGACCCACTGAAGGACTGGCACGTGAACAAAAATTAACTTGTATTCTGTTTAAACCACTATCCACTGTTTGGATCTTGTGGTGACAGCAGGGAGCCTATAGTAACATTAAGATCTGAAGCAAACGTGGTGCTACACCAAACTAAAAGGAAACAAAAAAATAAGGATTTGGGTATGGTGGTGCACACCTATAATCCCAACACTGGGGGGATGTTTAGGCAAGAGGATCTGGAGTCCCAAGCCAGCCTCAGCTACATAGTGAAACCCTGTCTCAAAATACAAACAAACTAAAAAAAAAAGTATCTCCCTGGATTCTCACATACAATTATGCTCAGGGGAAGCTGCAAAGGGAAGTCATGTAATAACCTACCAACAAGAAGAATGCCTTTCTCTCCAGGAAAACTGAGAACAATGGGATCAGAAGGAGTTGGGTCACTAAATGTCTGGCCAGGACCCTTGATGTGTGGTGGAAGCGAGAGGGGTGGGGACAGGCCAAAGGAAAATAGACAAAGAGCTGTCAGCTGAACCCACCCAATTGCAAGTGCTAGATGAGGAAAATTCCTGCATATAAAATACCTTTTAAATATCTAAAGTCTCATTCTGCCCACTTTTTTTTTTGTATAAATTTCATTTCAGAAATTTCCCACCTGAACAAATTTTGCAACTGAACAAAATTTTCTGTCAGGTTGGGATGTAGCAAGTGGTAAACGATAAAAAAAAAAAAAACAAAAACAAAAAAAAATCCCAGCATGGCAAAGAATCAGGGGGAAGCAGAAGCCTCAGAGGGCGACCCTCTGGCTTCACCTCTTAAGAGTAGGTCTGCACCTGAAAGCACAAGGTCCCACCTGTGCTACTTCTGCATTTCTACCCCCCACCCCCAGACTGCCCTGCCTGGAAAGTACCCAGCAGAGCAGCAGTGCCCAGCCCAGCACCCTGACCATGCCTACATGAAATAAATTCTTCCTTCTGCCACTATTTTCCACTTCCTTTTCTAGATGCTGCCTCCCTGCCCACGGGAGCCCCTGGATGGAGGGCTAGCCAGGGCTCCCCTTGCTTGCTGTCCAGTGGGCATGGCAACATCAGGCCTGACCACCCTGCACCCAGCTCTCAGCTCACTAGGCCCTCCTTGTCTACCTCTTTGTTCTTCTCGCTGAGTTTTGAGAAGCAGAACTGCCTTTCGAAAGTCATCTGACTTAGGTCAGTCATCTTCTCTTCACCAAGCAGATGCCTTTTCTCCGCACAGATGAGGTTTGCAGCACTGTGAAGTAGACAATATTATCTCAGCTCAGCACAACCTGAATCATACCATTCTGAAAATTAACGTACTGAACTGGATACTCACTGTATGAAAAAGAAAGCCAACCAGACATCCTTCTGTTGGCTTGATAATGTTCCTATAAAGGCTTAGTTCCCAAGGTGGTGGTCTTGGTTCCCAAGGTGCTGTGGACTTTCAAGAGATGAGGCCTAGAGTGGTCACAGAGGCATACCTTGAAAGGGACAGTGGGAGCCAGGTGCCAGTGGCCCACACCTATAATCCTAGCTACTCAGGTGTCAGAGATCAGGAGGATGGATGGTTCAAAGTCAGCCCAGGCAAATAGTCTGAGACTCTATCTTGAAAAAAACCCATCACAAAATAAGAGCTGTTGAAGTGGCCCAAGTGGTAGAGCTCCTGCCTAGCCAGCATGAGGCCTTGAGTACAAACCCCAGTGCCACCAAAAAAAAAAAAAAAAGGAAGGAGACAATAGGACCCTGGTTTCTTCCTTTCTCTCTGCTTCCTGGCTCATGATGTGAGTGACTGGCTACTACAAGGGCTCCTGCCATGATGTGCTGTCTTTGCCAGTGATCCAAAGCAATTGCTGCCACTCAGGTATTTCACTGTAGTAACATGAAGCTGACTAAGCGAGCTCTCAATCTTCTGCCCCACCCACTCCTGCTGGTACAACCTTTGTGGAAGGCATGAGTTATGAGACACTTCTCCAGCTGGGGCTGAGTTATGAGTGGGACCAAAAGGGAAGCTCTGAATTCTCAAACTGGAAAGTCAGGCAGAAGTGGGGCATCTGCTTTCTAGGACATGCACAAGACAGCAGAGAAAGGTGGTGTGAAGAGAATCAGAAATGAAGCAGGTTCACAGAGAAAAGCAATAGTGCAAGCTACATAGTCCAAGAGAGGAGGGGACTGGCCTCATGGTCCTCATGAAGCTTTCTGGCCTTGGCTTCCCAGCGTATTGGTGCTTTCCAACATATGTAGCCTCCACCCCCTTTTTTCCTTGAGAAGGAGTCTACTTTTTGTAATCAAAGCACTTCTGACTGATCTATCTTGCTTGTAAGTCCCTTTCTTACTTCATCAAATAGCCATGTGAGGCAGTCTCTGGGCAGCTCCTTTCCGAGGGCTGGCACCAGGGCTGCCCATCCCTGCCCCAGAAGCCCAGCCCTGCATTCAGAAATAAGCCTCACTTCTCCATTTAGTCACCTCCTGTGATGTCCTATTGACACAGCCCTGCCCTCAGGCCTGCTGCTGGATGGAGCTAGAATGGCAAAGACAAGTGACTCAGGCAA